ATACAAACCATCTACTATTATTAACAAAAAAATCCCAAAAAACATAACCATTACCTTTGACAAAAAAGGCTAACATCAGGGGCAACTTGTTTCCATGGTGCATGCACATATTGTTGTTGACAAAACACATAAGCTATCGTTCGTTTCTTCCTGTTCTTCAGTTGATGGCGGAACGTCAGCTTAAAAGTTCTCTAAAATTTTAAGCAGGGACAACAATATGAGGTGGGTAAGGATTCATGAAAAGACATATCTGAATAACAATCAACATATTAGATGTATGAAATGATATAAAGCAAAAAAAAAGTGAAAGAAACTTACCATTCCTCCTGCTGCTGCAGCTGAAGCAAGATGCATGTAAGCACTTGTTTCAAGTTGATTTTACATGTTCCTTTGTTTGGCTCTGTTGTAGCTATTCAAACAAAAGGATATATATAAGTCCATAAGTTGGATATGCATGACACAAAAAAAGGAAAATTGTAAAATACCCTCAATCTTTATCAGCAATGCATGATTGTAAGGGTATTAATGTAGATAAAGGTTATAAGTTGTAAAATCCTAATGCAGAGTTTCATAAATAGGGAAGGAATATAGTGTATTTAAAAAATGGAATAGTGTATTTAATTCTGATAAAAATACTTTAACCGTGTCTGTAATCTGAAAAATGTAAGGCACCACACTGAAAAAAATCAAAAACCCCACTTGCTTGTGGCCAAAGGGTCTTACGAATTGGCAATTTTATTAGATCAACACACATACACCTTTTTGCCTTTATTTTCCCATTTCCTTCGGCCTCTGTGTGAATGATGATAATTGTTGGGTTTTTAGGTGGAATGTAAAGCTGCTAAACAAACAGAGAAGGCAAGGGGAAAACAGTCAAAGAAAAATGGCTACCACGTTAATAGTAAAAAAAAATGACAATAACCCACATTATCACAAATGTATAAACTAATGCAATATGAAACATATCATTATCTTAGGTTTCTACAAATGCAAATGATGGAGCATTGTATAAGAACTCACAATTTGGTTCATCAGGAGGATACTTTTGGTAATTTTCAGCTTGTATGATCTATTTGAGATGTCACCTATGCCTCCCTCTAGCTTGGCCTTTTGGATACATCTCGTACATCTGAATCTTTTTAAAACAAAGGAAGTCAAAGAGCCTACCTAAAATTTAGCATGAGTTAAAACATGGTCTAGCCATAGGAAACAACGTAAAGCCTTCTATAGAACATGATGTAGCTATAGGAAACAACCCAAAGTCTTATATGATTGCTTACAAATTTAAACTATAATGAATAAAGCAGCGACAATAAGCACCAGCAAACCTAAAATCTAGTCACTTCTCTCAGTCATTTTATCAAACAGGTCGTGTGCCTTTCCTACAATCATTCTTTATGCGGAAATCACAAATGGAAAATCAGTTATAATCAAATCCCCAAAAATTGATCACAAAGGTTTACAAAATACACGAAATTAAAAAAAAGGAAGCCAAATTCATTTGGCGATTGAATACGGAGATGAAAAATAGGAAAGCAACCCCAAATAGTAAAGGGCAACGGTACCTGGCTGATTAAACATCTGTACACTTGAAACCACATCATAAACCCAAAACTCAACCCTAACGATAGCTTATGTGGCCCTAGTCTGATCGAATTTCTGTTACAGGAAGAAACGAACGATAGCTTATGTGGCCCTGGTCTGATCGAAGCTGAAGCGGCGAAGCCATTGGAAGAGAGGAAGGGCGAGAAGAAACTGTAACAAATAAACAAATAGAAAGATGGATTAGTGGATGTTAACATAAATACGGTTGAAGGACCTTACCTCAAGCGATTGTGGATCTTTAGTCAACCAATCTTCGTGTGCATTCTGTGTGGGATTCGATGATGTTGGTAAATGAAGTCGGGGTCGATAGTAGGGAGATGGAAAGGGTTGTGAAAGACGAGGTGGGAAGGGTTAGATGGAGAGGAATCGATAGATAATGGAAAAAGCCGAGATTCCAGAGAGCGAATCAATCGGTGGACGGTTAAAGTAAGATGGATCGGTGGTGGGTTCTTCTGCATCATATGGCGGTGGATGTAGTAGCGGTGGTTTGTTATTTGAAGACGAAGCGGCTGTAGAAGCACCGTCGACAGCGGCGCAGGTAGAAGGAAACGTCGCCCAGTAAAGAAGAAGATGATTGTGTGGAAAAGAAGGAAGAAGAGGATTAAAATTATGAAGGCATTTGAAGCGGTGAAAGCGGTGGAAGGATCTGGAACTAAAAAGAGTGGTGGATGTGAAGAGAAGGTTTGGATAAGAAGCGGAAGGAAGAAACTGGAAGGTGCGATTAACTTACGGGTGTGGGGATAAATGACCGGGAAACCGGAACTGTTAACGAAGCCGATATTGCAACCAAAGGCAAAAACAGGGGCCATTTCACAAAATGACCCAAATATAGTTCAGGGACCATTTCTGCCAATCTATTAGGAACTTTACTGTTCCTTTTCTTCATAACTTTAATATATATATATATATATATATATATATATATATATATATATATATATATATATATATATATAATAATAATAATGGCTAAATGATGATAAAATGTTTTTTTATATGTAGACCGATTCAAGCTGATTTGAGGCACCGAACAAAATAAAAAATAAAGACTTTTTTGCTGCTACCTGTCACGACTTAATACCAAAAGCTTTTTTATTTCTAAAATAATCTAAGTAGATACATAAAATGGGTCCCGAAAGTTTAGAGGCGTAGGTCATTGTTCATACTGTCCTACCCTCTGATAACCCTCTTTATATGATACAATTAAAATATAAATGACTTGAAAGAAGAAATTTATTATTATTTTTAGAACCGTTAACATACAAATTATGAATCATACTCTAAAACTTTTACTATAAGAATATTAGTTTTTTTTCTGACAAGCTTATTCGTGATAATTTTGTCTAAGGGAGGAGGGAGTCGTTCCCTCCCAACCCACCGAACCCACTGCCACATCAATTTTTCTCTTTTATTTTTCTTCATCTTTCTGAACCCACAACACACGAAAATCTTATCTTTTTTAACCCACTCAACCCACTCAATTAAAAAAAATACAAAACAACTAAGGTACAAGTTTTAAAACACATGGTACAAGAGAAAATAAGAAAGAGAAAGTAGAGAGAGATGATGAAGTGGGTTAGTAAAACCAATCAACCCACTCGTTGAAGCGGGAGTGGTACCGCCGATAACTCTATTGCTAATTAAGATTTTACATTTGATTGTGTTGTATTTTTTTTAATTGAGTGGGTTGAGTGGGTTCAAAAAGATAGGATTTCCGTGTGTTGTGGGTTCGGAAAGATGAAGAAAAATAAAAGAGAAAAAGTGATGTGGCAGTGGGTTCGGTGGGTTGGGAGGGAACGACTCCCTCCTCCCTGAACCCACTGCCACATCACTTTTTCTCTTTTATTTTTCTTCATCTTTCCGAACCCACAACACACGGAAATCCTATATTTTTGAACCCACTCAATTAAAAAAATACAAAATAACTAAGGTACAAGTTTTAGAACACATGGTACAAGAGAAAATAAGAAAGAGAAAGTAGAGAGAGATGATGAAGTGAGTTAGTGAAACCAATCAACCCACTCGTTGAAGCGGGAGTGATACCGCCGATAACTCTATTGCTAATTAATATTTTATATGTGATTGTTTTGTATTTTTTTTAATTGAGTGGGTTCAAAAAAATAGGGTTTCTGTGTGTTGTGGGTTCGGAAAGATGAAAAAAAATATAAGAGAAAAAATGATGTGGCAGTGAGTTCACTATTGAGAGGGAATGACTCCCTCCTCCCTAAATAGCCCCTTACAATGCATTACTAACGAAAAAGTATGTGGTAAAACGGGCCATAGGAAACACCTTTCGGAAAAATTTCTCACAAAATGTTTGACACATTTCCGACACAATTATTTGCTGGAAGAATCTGACAAAAAATTTTAACTCCTACTTTTCAATAGAATACCGACAAATTAAGATTCCTGGCATATTTTCGATGGAATTCCGACGAAGCTCTTTTTAGTAACAGTTGTTTATGCATATTTCTGTGGATATTTTGTCGGTAAAAATGCAGTTTTTTTTAAACATAATAAAAAAAATATAAAACCAAAATTCCAGATTATTATTGTTTTTATAAAAAAAAAATACAATAAATGAAAACCAAATGCAATTTCAACCACAATCATAGTAAATATTAATATAAAAAATATCCACTACAAGTTCAACAAAAAGTATAGCTACTATCCAATACAAGCACTTGTCCATAGTCCAACCTCTTCATCACCTATACTAGCTATAACGCTAAAATGACAACTTACATCTACTACTTCAAAAACAAGACTTTACCGAGTTATATTTGCTTAGTAACAACAATATAATGACATTAGCACACCTTCGAGAAATATATTCCTAGAATCCAAAGGATCACCTGGAATCATCACTCAACTCTTAGAAAGGTTTCCTCACAAAATAATGCAGAACGAACATGCTCCTTGCTAGATTCACACTTTTTTCATATAATTACATGTTTTTGAATTCATTATGGATTAATATATCAATAATTGTAAGGGAATAATTGCATTAATTAGTTTTCATCGAGAAAGAAATTAGTCTCCTAATGGTAAAAATGAAGAATGGCAATAAAAATAGTGGTACCATAAAAGGATCGTTAGTAAGGTCATGTCTTATCTATGATTGCAAAACTTTAAGCGATTCCAGTTCTTAGAAAGACCTCATACTACATTTTTTTTGATGGATGTGATTAGGAAAAAAAATTGATGATTAATGTTACACTATTTTCTATTTTCTACATTATATTTTGAGTGACGTTGTATTTTTGACAAATTCAAGTCAACATATAGAAAATCTTGGCAAAGCATCCGTTAGAAATCTATTTTCTGTTTACCATGAAAACACACCTTAAATACATATCTTCTTCAAGGCTATCAAGTATCAACCCACTCCAAAAATGGTTATCACCAGATCTAAAGTGAAGAAACTGCAGATCAACGATGATCTTCTAATCGAAATCTTTCTCCGGCTGCCTCTTGCCTCTGTTCGTCGATTCCAATCTGTATCCAAACACTGGCGTTCCCTTTTAACTGACCGGTGTTTCACCCTCATTTATAAAAATGGTTGTATCTCTCGTGGCTTGTTTGTTAAAGATTTCTACGTTCCTTTTGATGATGAGAACAGAAACCCTCCTTTTCTTAATCTCGACTTCTATCCTGATCCTCGTGGTATTAAAATCATCCAATCCTGTAATGGATTGCTCCTTTGTTGTAGCAAGAAGATCAAGCGTGATTGTATATACTACGTATTCAATCCCACCACCAAGCAATTCGCTCTGATTCCATCAGTTCCTGGAGGTGGACATGTTCGTAGAACTATCTGTTTTATGGCTCTCGCATTTCATCCAACTGATTGTCCTTGCTACAAACTTGTTTGCATTCGGTATATTAGACGTGATGAGAAGCTTTTTCAGATTCAAATCTACTCATCTGAGACAGAGAAATGGAAGATTTCAGATCAATCTTTCTCCGCGAATTCTTATACGTCCTTCAGCTCCGGGGTTTATTGGCATCAAGCGATTCACTGGGCTCACTCCAATGGTAATCCTTCCTACTTTAATCTCGACACAGAAGAATTGCAAACGATGCCATCATATTTTACTATCGACACACAAGATTTTACTGGACGCTATCATGAAGGAGAAAAGGCCGTTTACTTTGGGGAGTCAAGAGGCTGTCTGCATTTGGTGAAGAGGGTCCAGCGCAGTTTCCAACTGAAGGTGTACGAGATGTTGAATCATCATTCCGGGTGGTTCGTTAAATATATGGTGAAGCTTGATGTGCATCGCATGAATGCAATTCGGTGGTTCCCTGATCATTACGCTATTCAAGTCTTAGATGTGGTGAGGGGTGGAGAAGAAGATGAAACCTTCTTCATGGTGATCCAAATTCTTGGGAAGATCGTAAGGTACAATTTTCATGAAAAGAGTTTCAAGCAGATGTTTGATCAAACCATACCAATCTGGCATGGGGGAGCTTTTCGTTATATTGAAACCATAGTTACTTTCTAAAACCTCCCATTTATGTGTACATTTCTTAATTCTATCAGTCACTAGTTTTTATTTATCGAGAATATAAATCATGAAAAAGTAGCAACTTAATCCTTGTTATTACTAGGGAAAATTGTTAGAAAAGACCTTAAGTTTGTTGTTTTTCGGTTTTATCCCAACATCAATTTTTTTTTTTTTGCTTAACAGCATGAAACTTGCAAAAGTTTTTTGCATAAATGATATTTAGCAGGTTAACCACTCTAAGGCACTGTAACTTATGTTGCACAGGGACCATTTCTGAAAATTCAAATGTTTTCTTCTCCCCATCAGCCGATCGCAGTGATAAGGAGGATATTGAACACCTGGCCGGAGCTTTTATAGACAAATGAGAAAACGACAAACCGGACTAAAAAATAATAACAATAATCCTAACTTAATACTAAAACTCATAATATTTTAGGAGGTTTCAGGGGCGGAACGAGTTAGGAGGTGTTTAGCAAAGCTTAAAAAAGGAGTTTTTTTGATTTATTACCGGTTTGATACCGGTATAAATCAAAAAAAAATGTTTGGATAAAAAACAAATTATAGTTGTTGGCAACTTCTAATAAGTCAAAAAGTAATAATTAACATATCCGTTACTTATAAAAAAAACTCATTATTTCACCAAATAAGTTATAAGTCAAAAAGTCATAAGTCTTTTCAAATAAGCTTTGCCAAACAATCTCTTAGTTGGCACGGGTAGCCCGTGCTACCCCTCAAAAATTTCGAAGAAGAAGGTAAGAGAAGGCAGATGAATCATATTTTAGTCGTATGTATGTCAAGGTGCTACTCCTCAAATGAATTGTGCAATTCAAGAACTCACAACAATCCTAATCCCTTGTTTGGTATGCGGTAATAGAATCATGAAAGGACTACCGTATTCAAAAGGAATGAAAAATTGGATGTTTGGTTGGTGACCAGAAAGGAAACATCTATTCTTGATGGAATATCGTTCCCTCTAAATGTGTCTTTTTTATTCCCGCTAACCCCCTGTTTTTATTCCATTCCTTTCCTGTTTTGCCATTGGCTCCTTGAATCGTTCAAAATCCCCAGATCAGCAATTTAAACAATTGATTTCAGTCATTTCAATAAAACGAATAGCGTTTCAGCTTTCAGTCGTGTCATTGAATCGATTCCCATATTAGAAGCAATCAATTTTAACAGTAGAAGAAATTCGACGAGTTGAGTTTCTAAAAACAATTTGAACTATATATCTTAAAGGTATTGTAAACCTTTTCATAATTTCTTAGTAATTTGTTTTCAAACTCCTGGTTTTAAGTTCATATGCATAAGTTGACATTCTTGAACAAATCTGTGCATATTAACTGTTTGTTGAAATGTGTAAATGAAATGTCTTAAAGGTAGAGGGTGTAAGTTTATAGTCTTCTGTCTATGACAATAAAAAGTGTATGTCTAAAAGGTGTATGTATGATCCAGCAAAGAACAAGAGTTGTTGATATTACTAGCATAATGATCCAAAACAACAATCTGTGCGGTTTCTTTTTAAAGGTTAGCTTTTCTTTGCCTAGGTGGTAGTCTTGTAACAAGATTGACAAACTTATCTCATAGATGGAGTATATACTAGTTTAACTTTGGAAAGTTAATTTCAGTGTAAATTAAGTTTGATAGTTGGACAAGTTATTGACTAATATGTCTTTCTCGTAAGTTTGGTGATTCCGTTCCCTAGTTTTTAATTATTCGTTTTGGTTTTGTATTTGGGAACTTTTTGTCTTAATTGTATTATGAATAAGATGATGTAGCGAGGTTTGTAGGCAAGTCGAATTTTCTTTCGACTGGTAAAATCTTTAGATGAGTGTTGGGTACTGATGGTTAATTACCTCATTTTATTTGCAACCAACACATTTACTTTTTAGCATGGTTAATTAGCTCATTTTATTTGTTGCCAAAACATTTACTTTTTGGTTTTTAGGAACTTTTACATGTCAAACTTTTTTTATACCATTTAAAACGACTTGCTCACTTTTATTCAAGTCCCATTGTAGACATTTTCCCAAAAACAATAGAATAGGAAAAAAATTGTGATACCCCTAGAGGTTTCCGCCGCTGGGAGGTTTCCCAAATAATAATAACTCACAATAATCATCTAATGGCTGATTACTAGATGTTATTTTTGGACTTTATAATAAATAAAAATGCAGAACAGCTTTTGGAGAAAAAATGTTGCTTCTAAAATAAAAGTTGAACAACTCAAATACAACCTTTCTTGAAAGGTTGCATATTAGATAGCTTCACGGGATGCTATGCAATGTAGTTAGGGTTTAGGAGAATTATCAACACATACATTAAATTGGCACAAATGATAGGTCGATTTTGGAAATGATTTATGAACATCGATGAACATTGTTGGATTTTAATCGCAAACGTACAACTACATATTTATTTTGCCTTTATGCGTCATCAATGGTGCAAACATATATATAGCTTTCGTCCCATTGTTGAAGGAAAATAAGTATATAGTTTGTTTTGAGTTGCGTTTGCTCTATATATATATATATATATATATATATATATATATATATATATATATATATATATATATATATATATATATATATATATATATTGTCATTTCATCTAATAAATAATCGATTTTGGTTCTTGTTCATTTTAAGTCTTGGTTCTTCAAACCAAGTTCCTTGATCATAAGATATAAATAAAATAATTATTTTGATTTTTAATTAAAAAAAAATAAATGAAATACATGTCAACAACTCTTGGACATGAGTGACAAAGAGTTTTATGTAGAAAAGTGTCATTATTTTAAAAAAAAAATTAATATACTCTTAAAAGTTTTTTTTAACAGAAAAGTCTCGATTATTTAACATTTTGCCCAAATTAACGAAAAAATCATTTTTTATAATTTAATAGTAAATAACAAATTATGTAATTTTTTTCAAATAATAAGACTTTTTCACATAAAACTCAATAAACAAAACCCCATTTATTTGATGCCACATCGGATGAAAAACAAGTATACAAGAGTTGAATCCACTACAATAAAATAAAGGATAAATATTAAAAATATATATTCAAAATACAATTAAAACACAAATAAAATATAAATGACTTTTTGAACAAATTGATCATTAATACCATTTTAAGACGTCATTGTGAAAAGTCAAAGGGCATGTTTGGCGCGGAGCTTTTAGGAGCGTTTGAGCGCTTCTAGCTTCTAGCGTTTAACAAAACGCTCCATTATAAACAAAAAGTCTCATTTGGCGTGATGAGCGTTTAGCTTTTAACCTAAATCAAAAGCTCTAAAATCAATCGCTATATGAAGAAGCCTTCAAGAAAAATCTATTGGGCTTTGCATTCAATTTCCAGATTTGCCCACAATTAATAATTTTGATCGTACTCCTTATTTCTTCTCGATCTGTGCGATCTGCTTTAAACCTAACAACTAACGAACCTTTACCCCTTGCCGCCATTGCTAGATCAATCACCTCCTGCTGCTGTTTGCACCAGTAAGTATTTTTTTCTTTAACAAATTGTCATATCTATTAACAGTACGTATATGTTTGGTTTGTGTGGTTTTTCTCCCTGCATCGGTACTTCTCTAGAATAAAATAAGAACCATGCTTCTCTTTTAAATAAAAAATCTTGCTTTGACTTTTGTATTTTGTTCACAACCTTTTTTTATTGTAGCCACGTGAAAGACTACAACGTTTGTCCTTGTTTTCTATGTTAGCTTCAGATAGGCTCTTTATTGTACACTAGAGTTGTTTTTCTAGGCTTTTCTTTATCATGGCACATCAATAAATAAAATTTCTAGATACAAAAGTTACTAAAAGATTGTTGGATGTTCCATATTAGGTCGAGTGATAAAGCAAAATATATGCATCTTAAAAGCAAAAGTTACTGTTGGACAAGATTTGTCAATAACACATGTATTTTGTGGCTTAAAATCAATAGAATGCTTACTTTTTGTGCTATATGCTTTTACATACAAAATAAGTTAGTATTAAATAAACTGAAACATATTTACTTTATGATCTTTTATGGTTTATGAAAATAGTTTATAAAATAACATGTCAGACAATTTTCCCCGAGGAACTTATGCTTCTAAAACTAGTAACACATTTTATGATTGTCAAGGTGTATCTATTTGTGATTTAAGCTCTGTACACTTTGTTTGTTTGTGTTGTTGGCCTGCATTATATGTGTTTATAAAGTTCAGTATTTGTGGATTTAATTCAACTTTAGGTACATACATGGCCTCCAACAATGAAAATGCGAAAAAAAAGTTTGATTGGCCAGAGAAGTTTGTTATGATTTTTTGTGACATCTTAAAAAAATATATTATGAAATATGGACGTACTCAGCCAATTAAATGGCAAGATCTTCATCCAGTTTTTGAAAAAGATGCTGCTACTAAGCTAAACAACTACAAAGCATTAAAGAACAAATATGATGGAATGCGAAAAGACTATAATTTGTGGAAGTCCTTAAAAAATGGAGAAACGGGTTTAGGTTGGAACGAAAGTACAGGACAACTAAACTGTTCAGATGAATGGTGGGATCGAAAAATTAAGGTAGTAAGCTTAAATCATTTTTATTATCATAAACTTTAGCGTTATCTTGAACACTAATAGTGAAAAATTATATCATGTAGAAAAACTCATATGTTAAAGCCATTCGAAAAAAAACAACCTTCTTTAGAACTACAACTTGCATGGGATCAAATCTTTGGGGATGCAGTTGTCAGTGGTATAAACTGTGTGGCACCGTCCATGGATCATACTACTTTAAATGGCATGCCTAATGTTAATATTGATGATCAAAATCCGACGACGGGTGATAATGTTGTAACGGGTGATGACACTTTCTTCTCTTCACAATATCCTCAACACTCTTCTCATTTGGACTTAGGAAATGAAGATGGTGGCTACTATTCAGATTTGATGCATTATGCAAGAGATGTATTCTCACCGAACAATACCGGGGGTCTAATCAAGTCGAAAAGAGTTCCAAAGAAAGTTCTAAACTTAAACCTGTAGAAATGAAACGTAAAAAAGAGCATCGGCTGGATCTATAAAGTTACCGGAGCTTCTAACTGAACAAAATGTTATTCAAAAACGTGCTTTAGCAATATTAGAGTCAGATTCCCCTTCTTTTACCCATAGCCATGATTTTAGTATAAATGCAGCCGTAAACTTGATTAACCGAATGGTCGATGATGAATTAATGACAAAAGGGAGCACATTGTGGTGTTTTGCAATGAGTTTATTTGAAGATGCGGTGAAGAGGGAACTATTTATGAGTCTTCCGGATGATAGTGGCAGGTTGGCATGGTTGAATTATAAGAAAGACGGCAACTAAGTTTAATTGGTTAACATTGTCGATGATTCATTTTAGATTATTTTTTTCGTTTATTTGATTAGGTCATTTTCATTTGGATACTTGTCTATTTAGATTTAATTCGTTTTTTTTATTGTTTATTTGATTAGGTATTTTCATTTGGATACTTGTCTATTTGAAATTTTAATGCGACATCTATGATTTATTATGCCTTGTGTTTTAATGAATTTTTTAAATTTAGTCTAAATTGAACTAGATTCCTACTTATTTTATGCTGATAAAAATCATATTTAATAGGTACAAACGCTTCAATGGATATTGAAAGAAAGAAGAGGAGAAAAAACTTTATTGTTTACAGTTAATATTGAATTCATGCTCTACAACTACCATAGCTTCTACGTACTTTTATAAGTATATGTATAAGGTACCTTGTATGACATCAACTCAAACAGGAGAGGTTTCGATGAAGGAAATTTTAAATGGTAATCCTATTCGATGTGTTAATGCATTTAGAATGCATCCAAGTGTGTTCATGAAGCTTTGTAAAGAACTTGAACTAAAATATGGATTAAAGTCAAGTGATAACATGTCAACCGTTGAAAAGTTGGGAATATTTGTATACACACTCGCGATAGGTTTGTCTAATAGAGATGTTGGGAGCGATTTCAACGATCAGGATATACTGTTAGTAGTGCATTTCATGATGTTTTAGAGGCAATAACTGCCTGAGGAAATAGTTTCAACGGTCTAGCACGTGACATTATACGATCAAAAGATCCAACCTTTCGATTAATACCATTGCAAATCAAGAATGATAGAAGATACACGCCATATTTTAAGGTATGATATTTGTATGTTTGTTTTAAATTTTTAATACCATATGTCATTATTATTATTATTTAAAAAAAATGAATTTAGGATTGCATTGGATGTATTGATGGTACACATATAGCCGCATGCATCCCTAAAACTCAACAATTACGCTATATCGGTAGAAAAGGGATACGACATTTAATGTAATGGCAACTTGTGATTTTGATATGTGTTTTACCTTTGCATCTGTTGGATGGGAGGGTTGTGCACATGACACACGTGTTTTCCTTCATGCAATTAACACGCCATCAATGAACTTTCCAAAACCACCTGAAGGTAAATTATCATTATCTTTATTATTTTCTTAATATGATATAAGTAACATTTCAATTTTTTTGTTCTCCTCCAATATAATAGGTAAATATTATTTGGTAGATAAAGGTTATCCAGATAGAAATGGGTATATGGTTCCGTATTCCAAAACAAGATACCATCTATCTCAATTTGAAAATGAGCCTCCAAATAATATGCAAGAAACTTTCAACCGTTCACATTCATCACTGCGAAGTTATATTGAAAGATCATTTGGAATCTTGAAGAGTCAATGGAAAATACTCCATAAAATGCCCAAATTTAGTGTGCAAAATCAAATTGGCGTTATTATGACTACATTTGCCTTGCATAACTACAATCGTCGTAATGCTGAGCAAGCAACAGTTTTTGATATCGTGGAACTATATCCAGATTGCATACCAAATGATGAACCTCGTGATGTTCACGGTAATGACGGAAGTAATGAAGACTTATACGAAGGATCTAATAATATGAAGCGCATTCGCAATGATATTGCTACTTTAATATGGAATGCTCGACGTCGATGATTTTATCAATAGTTTTTACATTGCAATATAACTTGTGATTATTGTAATGGAACATAGTTATGCAAAGTTACTAAATTTTAAGAATTGTAGTTCGGCAATCTTTTATTTATTTATTATGTTTCACAATTAAAATTTAAACAAGTGCCCTTTTATGTAATTTTACACATTTCAAAAGCTTCCAGCTATACGCTACCCGCTACCCGCTACCCGCTACCAGCTAACAGCTATCCGTTACCCGCTTCCAGCTAGTTTTGCCAACCACGCCCAAAATATACTTAATACTTAATACATAACAGTTAGTTTTATATTGTATGTAACAATTTTATAGGAATAATTGTTATGTGCCATGTTTGGTTTCTAATAATATAATCCTGATATAATAAAGACATATAGGGGAGTACGTATAATTTATTACGAAATAGAACTTGTTCAAAATTTTCGGCTTAATTTCTTTTGTTAAAAATTCTGGACAAATTCAAGTCAACATCAAGAAAGTCTCGGGTAAAACTTCCATGGCAATCTTATTTTCTGTTTACTCATCGGCTTCCATGACAATCTTTCACCATGAAAACACCCCTTAAATACTCCTCCTCTTCAATACTCCCACCCTACTCCAAACTCCAAAAATGGTGAACACCAGAGCCAAACTCCAGAAAATCCACAACACCATGAAACTCTGCTTCTCGGAGGCTGCCATGGCCGATTCCGATCATCTGGCCACCCAATCTGGAGCTTTGATCGGTTCCAATGACGATCTTTTAATCCAAATCCTTCTCCGGCTTCCGGTTACCTCTGTTCTTCGATTCAGATCTGTATCCAAACACTGGCAATCCCTTTTGAGTCACCAACATTTCACCCTTCTGTATAACAAAGTTTCCATCTCACCTGGCCTTTTTGTTTCCAATTTGTATATTCCATTTGATGTTCAAAACCAAAGTCCTCCTCCTTTTCGAAACCTCGACTTCTACCCTGATATTTGTGGTATTAGAATCGTCCAATCTTGTAACGGATTGCTGCTATGCTGTAGCAAGAGGGGGCATGAACGAGTTCGCAAATATTACGTATTTAATCCCACAACTAAGCAATTTGCTCTCATCCCATCGGTTCCTGGAGGTATGGATGTTCGTAAAACCATCCGTTTTATGGGTTTGGCATTTCATCAAACAGGTTGTGTTCACTACAAGGTAGTTTGCATTCACGTTGTGAAGCCTGATGGGTTGTTTAAGATTCAAATCTACTCGTCTGATACAGGGAAATGGAAGATTTCAGATCAATCTTTCTATGCGCCTTATTATACACCTTTAAGATACGGAGTTTTTTTGAATCAAACGATCTACTGGGCTCCCTCCTGTGTTAATCCATTGTACTTTAAGCTCGATACACAGGAGTTGAAATCTCTGCCATTGCCATCTATCGGAGTTTATGGAGATGGAGGAATGCCACTTTACTTTGGGGAATCAAGAGGCCATTTGCATTTGGTGGAGAGGGCGGATTGGGGTGAGACCCATTTACACCTGAACGTGTATGAGTTGTTGAATGATCATTCTGGATGGTTTCTCAAGTATGCAGTGGAGCTTGATGAGCTTCTGAATGCTTACCCGGAGATGATCAATAGCTACCAGGATCCTTCAAGCCCTCGTTATTACGAATTCGAATTGTTTGATGTGGTGAGAGGTGAAGAAGAAGATGAAACATTCATGGTGATCAAAATTCCAGGGAAGATTATAAGGTACAACGTTGTGTACAAAAGTTTCAAGCAGATATTTGATCTGAGTCATCTGCACGACATTTCCTATGGACGAATAGGTCACTCGGATGTTCATCGCTATATTGAAAACTTGGCTTCTTTCTAACAAGAGTTGTCAATTACTTTGAAAAAAAAAAGTAATATAAGTTGCTTTTATAGATAAAAGTAAAACAAATGTGCTGATTTTATATACTAAAATTTGTATCAAGGGTTTTTAACCCAAATTAAGTCCTGTGGACATAGATAGATTTAGTAATCATATAATTTGTTTAATAATTCTAAATCTTACTTAAATAATTTGTTCTTTTTATAAACAAGTCTAATGTTTATATAAAAAAATGCATGCAATTAAAATAAATACTATAATATCTTTAGTCAATATTCGTTATATTTTTGTCGCAAAACCTGATACGATAGAAATATCAAATCACTATTAAGAATTTCAAATTTTAATATTGAAGATTAAAATTGAAACATTTAGACAAAAAGTAACAAAGGTTTAAAGGATAAATATAATTAAGAAGTATAATAAAACATTACTAAAATGAGGTTCATCATACAAACACAAGGTAAAAAAAATTTGGTATAAGGAAATTGTTTGATATAGTTTACCAAAAAACTATCACCTTGAATGGTAATTAAAAATCCTTTTTTTTGTAAATTATGTAACGTTTCAAATTCCATAAAATTTTCATTTTAAAAATAAAATAAACACCTATTTTTATAAAGATATAATTGATGTAAAACCATTTATTCATAAATTGTAATTTAACATTAGAGTTACAAGGAAAGACGATGCGAAATCTCAACTCATAAAAATTGTTGATGTGTGTAGAGTCATGCCTTTGTGATCTGATAAGTACCTAAAATCATTTAATCGTACGCCAATACTTAGTGAGTTCCCAAAATACTCTACACAACAATATACATACAATGCAGGAACACATGAGCCTTCAATATGACTGGACCGAATCGCAAGGCCTACAGTACACCTGAACCGCTCTCTATGGGCCTTCAATCCGACTAGACCATCTCGCAAAGCCTACAGTACACCTAGACCGCCCCATGTATCTTGGCCTATAACACATAGCAGGACCGTTTCAACCTAACCGACCACATGTCGACATATATACATACCAATAACAAACAAGCACATGTAATCATAACAAATCTACCTGCCTAACAGATCTCTACAACATAACAACATCAAATGCACAATGATACACAGATCACTACAACATAACAACATCATACACACAATGATATATATTATAGTACAAAGTATAGTGAGAAAACTCACTCGAGCTAACTAGTAGAGGCTTAACAGCAAAACTCAACAACAGAACAACTAACGCGAGCTACCTAGAACCAAAATGGAACTATTCCTTAGCTAAACACTCAATTTTATCATAGTTTGACCAAAAGTCAAATTTGACAAAAAAAAGTCAACGATCAATGGTCAACAAAAGTCAACGGTTAACCCAGTCAAAGTCAACAGTCAAAAGTCCATCAGCTGGCCACCACATCATGGCCAAGCATCTACCATGTTGTGGTGACCTCACGACAAAATAGTTGTGGAGACTGCTTATTGCCTCATTGTGGTGGCCATCTCATCACGTCATGGAACCTGTTTTGGCCAACTTGATGCATTAAGCTCTTAACCCTTCAAGCTATTCATTCATACTTTCCAGAAGATTTTCTTACACCCAAAGCATCATAAAAATCGTTGCTTTATAGGCATACATGTCCAATGCATGTCTTGAGCTCAAGCTAGGTCAAAATGATGAAAATGAGACCAAATCCTAATGCATGGCATCAAAACTTTATATGTAGGATCGATGATCGAATACAAACAAGAATGAACAATACGATTATCACAAAGATGGTTTTCACTAAGAAATGTTCTCACAAACAGAACGAGGCGCACAAAGCAGCTATTAGGGTTGAACTCTATTATAAGAATATATAGAGATACGATTATAGAAATCCCTACATTAATGGGATCGTATCTAATCTATAATATAGATTGATGCTAATCACAAAGATATCATATCATTCATCTAATAGCTATAGTTACTATATTTACAATACAAACTAAATTGTACAAATGTTACACGCTGACACGGGTCTTCACAAGTACGTGCTGGCGCTGGCGCTGGTGGTCAGTGTGTGTTAGTGTTTGACTCATCACATTAAAAGGTTAGACCTTACAATCTCCCCCAATCTGATGATGTCAAAACTAATCGCTAAAGAATGAAATAATAGACGAATCAACTACATCTGAAGTAGAATGTTGATATTTGCTCCTCCTTAGATTCAGCTCACCCTCAGATAAACTGTAACGCCCCATTTCTAGTATGTGATTTAAATAAAGTAATTTTCATTTCTTAAGGGGTACTCGACGAGTCAGTAGCCCGACTCGTTGAGTAGAGACGGGATTTGCACGCGGTTTAAGTTGGCGACTCGACGAGTCCATATTCTCGGACTCGGCGAGTCTGCCAGTCTGGATGAAACCCTAATTTCAAGGGTTTGCACCCTATTTAAACGTCATTATAGCCCCAAACCAGCCTCCTTCACTTCCCAGAGACTTATTCCCAAAATCCTAGCCTCCTTGAAGTGTGTGTGAGTGATCTTTGCCTTGTGAAGGGACTTTTGGTGCATTTTGGAGCAAGGAGAAGAAGGAAAAGGTAGAAGAACTCAAGGAAGAAGAAGTAGATCCAGAATACACTCCTCTTTGGCCATCCCTTCTGGTAATGAAGTTTCCATCTTGATTATTGTGCTAATAGATCTAGTTTGTCCCCAAATTGTTGGTTTTAAGCTCAAAAACCCCAAATCCTTTGTGATGAAGCCTTGTGATCGAGTCATATCTCAAATCTAGCCTCTCTTGAGCTCCATAAGCTCAAGGAGACCACCTTTTGGCAGCCATGGCTTTGTTTTAGTCAAGTAACCCCCCATAATAGCAAAGTATGAGTGTTATTGCTTCATTGCATCTTAGATACACGTAAAGTTAGCAACTTTACGTGTTCAGATAGTCCCAGAAGCTTAGATCTACGAATTGGATGCACTAAAGTTGATTAGAGTCGACTGTATGGAATCTGCATGCAAAGGACTCGGCGAGTCGTTCTTATGACTGGACGAGTCGGGTCGCGAGTCTTAGATTCCCGGTTCAATAGTAGCGAGCCTGTGTAGTGAGTAGAGTAAGGACTCAGTAAGTGAAGACTTGGATCTGGAAGCAGACGGACTCGACGAGTTGTTCATACGACTCGGCGAGTCATAGACTAGGTGTGTTCTTCTGTTGAAGGGAAACTCGACAAGTTGTTCATACAACTCGGCGAGTCGGATGAGGTTAGACTCGATGTTAGTATCGAAGAAGAACTCGTCGAGTCTTTGCCAAACTCGACGAGTAGAAGCGGGTAGAGGATTAGAATGGATGATAGGGACTCGGCGAGTTGGCGGCCCAACTCGGCGAGTCCGGTCAACTGAAAGTTGACTTTGACCAGGGGTAAATAGTCATTTTACCCTGAGATTAGTTATCAGTATTTGATTTAGTGTTTATGGGATTTGTAGCCGGGGAGTTCCGGAGCAGCGGTCAGACAATTTCAGATCTAGCATCTCAGCAGCCAGCGTTACGAGGTGAGTTTTCCTTCCAGTAGGAACGGGTCTACGGCCACAATGTCGGCCCGTTTAGTCAGTAGTAGTTTCCGGACTTCGGTCCGATGCAGTATTTCAGTGTGCTTGATGTCTTTGTGATCCAAGCATGTCTTCGTGTTATGTCTTCCGGACTTCGGTCCGATGAAGTATGCAGTTTATGTGTTATGTTAGTAGATATGATTTTGCTATGCTATGATCAGTCAGTTTCCGGACTTCGGTCCGATGCAGTTTCCGGACTTCGGTCCGATGCAGAGGGCAAGGCCCTGGTTAGTTTCCGGACTTCGGTCCGATGCAGTTTCCGGACTTCGGTCCGATGCAGAGGGCAAGGCCCTGGTTAGTTCCGGACTTCGGTCCGATGCAGTTTCCGGACTTCGGTCCGATGCAGAGGGCAAGGCCCTGGTTAGTTTCCGGACTTCGGTCCGATGCAGTTTCCGGATTTCGGTCCGATGCAGTGGGCAAGGCCCATTATGTGCTTTCTATGTTATTATATGGTATGTGGTAGTTTGGGGGAGCTCACTAAGCTTCGTGCTTACAGTTTCAGTTTTGGTTTCAGGTACTTCAGCTAGTAAGGGGAAGGGCTCGGGATGATGGCATGGCACCCACCACAGTTTAGCCTGGGAGTTAGACTCTGATATTTTGTTATGATTTGACATCAGTTGCGATATGAGACATATTTTATGATATTTTGAGATACACGACTTATGATTTTATTATATGATATTTTGATATTATGGTTTTAGTAATGTGTTAAAACAAAAAATTTTGGCTTGTATTTTTGGGATGTTTCATAAACATCAGCTAATTTTTGCTCCCCCTTAAATGTATAACCTTCTTCTTTCAAGAGAGTCAGTTATTCTATGAATGATCAAATAGAATCATTGTATAACTTAACATTTATCCACCTTTTTGAAAGCATCTTTGAACTACAAAACAACAAGAAACACAGTTGTGCGTAGTCTAACCAGTGTATCATGAGTTTCAGCGGAAAGATAGTTGTGAATTATGTGTTGCATCGGAAGGACATGAGGGATAGTGATGTCTCTTTATTGCATGTTGTTGTACTATAGATCATTGACATAGTATTGCAAAGTCTCATCAGCATTTGGCTTACGACACTGAATCATGAACTTCTTTTATTAGAAGAATAAAGACAATAAGGGAAAGATGTGTGTAATACATTTTGGTTTTTAAATGTACCCATCGGCATAGAGTGTCGAAGTTTTATCAGTATATGGCTAATATAGTTAATCATTAACTTCTTTGATATAATCTTTGCAGGGCTAGAGTGGGCAGGTGTATGTAGTATACCACGGTACATGATATACCCATCGGCACAGATTTTTCAAACTCTCATCAGCGTCTGGTATCATATGTTGAATCATAAAATTTTAAAGAAGAAATTAGCGTAAGAATGGGTTGGTGCGTGTGATAGACTACAGTACATAGTCTAACCATCGACACTGAGTTTCGAACTTTTATCACTGTATGGTATCATATAGTGAATCATCAAGTTCTATATTAGAAAACTTGTAGGGATGAGAGGTTAAAAACTTGGAATATGTCCATCGTCAATTCATAATGGTAGCATGTCATACCTCAGTCTAGGAAGTCAAGGACATGAATAACCCTTTATCATTTAACGACCTGACACGTATCTCATACGTTTTGTGAATGCAAGGATATACACGGACAAGGTTTGAGACCTCAAACATTGAATTAACTTAAGATCAATGTTTTCCTATAATAAGGATCCAGTCAAGCCTGGTAAACCAGTCTTGTCTCGGAATAACGATCAACAAAGTGCTCAAAATATAGAAAAGTAATAAGCATGAACCCTTGTGACATATACTATAACTTGGTTAAGATTATTCCTTCTAAATAATCTCCCATCAAAAAGTCATTTATGATGCTCATTGTCTCTAAATTGACTAACCCGAATCTGCGAACGTTACAAACCTTTTCATCAACAGATTGCATGGAAACCTTTCTATGTCCATTGTGGAGCTACCTATGTTGGAAGAGCTTAGTCTTTGGGATAATAACATCACAGGTACCATTCCTTCGATTTTGGGAATGAATGGTAAACTCAAAAAACTTGATCTTTCTACTAATAAACTCACCGGAGTTATCCCAAAGTCTTTATCCTTTGGTCGGAAGTTGGAAATCTTGATTTTGTTCAACTATTTCCTATTCGGGCCATTACCAGATGATCTTGGTAAATGTGAGTCACTTAGTAGAGTACAAATAGGGTAGAATCATTTGAGTGGATCGCTTCCAAAAGGGTTCTTGTATTTTCCTTCGTTGTCGCTTGTTGAGTTGTAGAATTGAAAGAAAAGAAGGAGGAGGAAATTTTAGACTTTTCAAAGTCAATACGGGTCAAGGGGAAATGGGTCAACAAGTGTGTATGTAGCAAATAGGTAACAGGGTTACCCCTTCATTTTTTTCAACGTGACCAATTAGACCCGAAACTTTATTCCCTCACAAAGCGTGCAAATAAGTTAGGGGACTGATTCGGCAATTTCAAAATACATTGTTGGGCTAACGTGTCATTTTTTTAATTATATTTCATTTAAAAAACAAAAAATCATTAAGGATATATTTGTAATTTTATGTGGCCCTAACACTTACTTTTTAACAGAGTCAAACGAACATCCAATATAAGGACCATTGGTGTGCTAAGTTTTGTCGAAAATGACCACTAGTGTGCTTAGTTTTGTTGAAAGGGACCATTCATGCAAAAAAAATCACAATGACTGTTTTGGGGACAATTTTAAAATTATAAGGACCATTTGTGAATCTTTATCTTATTTTTATTATTAAACATCTAAATAGGTCAAAGAAAAAAGAGAGAAAAAATTAGAAAAAGTGAAATTTTTATTTGGTATAATTCCTCCAAACCATAAAGATGACTCGATCAACTTTTCAATAGTTGAGCTAAACATTCTTTTTCTCAATCGAACAAGATCTAAGAATCCATTTAGTTTATGGAAAAAGAAGGAGGCACAAATGACCGCATGAGGATCAACCGGTTGGTAGTTGGTAATGGACAGGGCGAGGGGATTGCTTTTTCTTTGAGCAATTTTTTCAAAAACCGAATCTATCTGATTATGAGGTCATAAGATGACAATTCACTATTTATATGCTTAGTAGTAAAAAGGAATCGATTTACAAAGGTGTCAAATGGTGGACTAAACATGAAAAAATAGACCAAACTACATCTACCATTTCTATAATTTAAAACAATTTAATACCAATAATTAAATAATAAGAAATGTCCTTTTTGGTTTCTAATCCCTAAATGGGGGAAGTAATGTATAATTTATACCCAATAGAACTTGTTCAAAATTTTCGGCTCAGTTGTTTTTGTTAAAAATGTGGACAAATTAAAGTCAACATCAAGAGAGTCTCGGGCAAAGCTTCCATGGCACTCTTATTTTTTGTTGCTCATCGGCTTCCATGACAAACTTTCACCATGAAAACACCCCTTAAATACTCGCTGTCTTCAAGTCTCTCAACTCACTCCAAAAATGGTGAATACCATAGCCAAACTCCAGAAAATTCATAACACAATGAAGCTCTGCTTCTCGGAGGTTGCCATGGCAGATTCCGATCATCTGGCAACCCAATCCGGAGCTTTCATCGGTTCAAAATTTCAAATGATGATCTTCTAACTGAAATCCTTCTTCGGCTTCCAGTCACCTCTGTTCTTCAATTCAGATCTGTTTCTAAACACTGGCAATGGCTTTTGAGCCACCCACGTTTCACCCTGATGTATAAAAATGCTTCCATCTCTCCTGGCCTTTTTGTTTGCAATTCGTATATTCCATTTGATGTTGAGAACCAAAGTCCACCTCCTTTTCGAAATCTCGACTTCTACCCTGATTTTTGTGGTATTGGAATCGTGCAATCTTGTAACGGACTGCTGCTTTGCTGTAGCAAGAAGGGGCACGAGCGTGTTCGTAGATATTACGTATTCAATCCCACAACTAAGCAATTTGCACTCATTCCATCGGTTCCTGGAGGTATGGAAGTTCGTAAAAACATCCGTTTTATGATTCTGGCATTTCATCAAACAGGTTGTGTTCACTACAAGGTTGTTTGCATCCACGTTATGAATCCTGATGCGTTGTTCAAGATTCAAATTTACTCGTCTGAGACAGGGAAATGGAAGATTTTAGATCAATCTTTCTCTGCGCCATATTATACACCTTTAAGATATGGAGTTTTTTGGAATCAAGCGATCCACTGGGCTCCCTCTTTTGTTAATCCATCGTACTTTAAGCTCGATACACAGGAGTTGAAATCGCTGCCATTGCCGGAGACGGTGGCATCTTTCGGAGGTTATGGAGATCGAGCAATGCCCGTTTACTTTGGGGAATCACGAGGCCATCTGCATTTGGTGGACAGGGTCGATCGCAATGAGAGTACTTTACAGCTGAACGTGTACGAGATGTTGAACGATCATTCTGGATGGTTTCTCAAGTTTCAAGTGGAGCTTGATGAGCTGTTGAATGCTTACCCGAAGATGATCAATAGCTACCAGGATCCTTCGAGCCTTGATTATTACGAATTCGAATTGTTTGATGTGGTGAGAGGTGAAGAAGAAGATGATGAAGCATTCTTTGTGATCAAAGTTTCAGGGAAGATTATAAGGTACAATGTTGTGGACAAGAGTTTCAAGCAGATATTTGATCTTAATCATCTGACCGACCTTTCCTATGGACGAATCGGTGACTTGAAAGTTCATCGCTATATTGAGAACTTGGCTTCTTTCTAAAACGAGTTAATGAGTTATTACGCTTGAAAAAAATTTATATATATGTCGCTTTTATTGGTAAAACAAATGTGATGATTTCTACGGTGAATGTTGTATCAACAGCTCTTCTTTTTTTTTTTTTTTTAATTATTATTATTATTTTTTTTTCTTTTTCGATTAACTTTATCAAATAAATAATTATGAACTTAAATCTTACTCATATAATTTGTTCCATAAATCTTTGTGAAATTATTAATAACTTTTACTTAATTTGTTGTTTTTGAACATGTGGACATTAAATAAAATTAACTATCATAATGTATTATTATAATCTATGCAGGTCCGTTCCAAATATAATTTGGGCCGGGCGAGAAGGAAAAAAAGGACTCTATAATACATAAATTTCATCAACATTTTTGTATTAACCCATTAATTGAAAAAAAAAAAAACTTGTACTAGCATCTTAATATAAAACAAAGCCTATAAAATTTTTGGGCTACCTTAAAAGATGGGTCATGGACGGTCGTCCCTATTGCCCATCCTTTGGGACGAGCCTGAATCTATGAAATGAAATTAATATATATGAGAAAACTCCATAAAAGTTCTTATATTATGGTTGTATAATCGATTTAATCATTACATCTTTTTATTTAATTAAGTCTAAAAAACCCATAATTATATTCATTTTGAAAATAATGTATATATATGTTGCTTTTATTGGTAAAATAAATGTGATGATTTCTATTAGAGCATAAGGTGTGGCCAACTAGTCATAACATCATTTTGATGCCATCTCACATGCCACATCACCAATGGTGTTATAACACCAAGTGGGGAAATGGTCACCATGTTGCATCTTGTTATAACACCAACTTTTTTTCATTTTATAATTTATTTTTTATTTTTCTTCGATTTTTTTTAATTTAGACAAATATTTTTTAAATATAACATAATAAATAAAACATAATGTTTAAAAATTATAAATAACATACAATAAAAAACAATTTTTAAACATTAAAATTAACATAGAAATTAAACTATTCATAACATCCAAATTCAATAAAAAAAAAAATACAACGCTATTCGTTATCGTTATTGTTACCATAGAAGATATAATCTGTCAAGTCCTCTCGAAGTTGTCTGTGTTTATTTGCGTCCTGAATGTCAACAACTCGATGCAAATACTCTGTTGTTCCTGGTTGAAACTGAACGTGTTTGAGCTCCGTTGGGATATAGTGTGCTATATTTCGCCCTTTATCTTCTACTACCATGTTATGCATTATGATACATGCATACATGATATATCGTAGAGTTTCTAAATCCAATGGTCGTGCTGCATGTTCAACTATATGCCACTTCGCCTTCAGCACTCCAAAAGCACGTTCCACATCCTTACGTGATCCTTCTTGTCTTCTCTTAAAAATTTGTCTCGTTCTTCAACCGGGTGGCGGAATGCCTTCACGAATGTAAAATACTGAGGATATATTCCATCTGTAAGGTAATATCCGTATTTGTATTCGTTTCCATTCACCGTGAAAGGAGCATTCGGGGCCTTTCCATTCAAAAGATCGTCGAATATTGGCGACTGATCAAGAACGTTGACGTCGTTGTTGGAACCCGCAACCCCAAAAAATGCATGCCAAATCCATAAATCTTGAGAAGCAACAGCCTCTAAAACCAACGAAGGTGATACGTGATGACCACTTGTGTATTGCCCTTTCCATGCTACCGGACAATTTTTCCATTTCCAATGTGTGCAATCAATGCTTCCGATCATTCCGGGAAACCCATGGCGTTCTTCATGCGCCGCATACAATTCTTGCAAATCATGCAACGAAGGTTTCCGCAAATACACGTCTCCAAATGTTTCAACAACACCCCTTGACAATGTATACAAACTCTCATTTGCGGTTCTTTCGGACATTCTCATATAGTCATCCATGGTGTCGGGTGACTCCCCCATAGCCATCAAACGAATGGCCGCAACACATTTCTGCAAAGTTGTAAACCCTCCTCTACCTCTAGCATCATATCTCAATTGGAAAAATTCATACCTAAACATATATTAACTACAGTTTAAAAATATATTGTATATGTTGTAAAATTAAAGAAACATGTACTAGATTTTTTTTTTGTATAAAAGTATAGTAAAGAAGCGATACCGGCTTTCCAAGGCGTTGGCGATCCGTAGGAACACATTCCTACTCAAACGAAATCTTCTTTTGAAGTCCTTCGACCCGTATACACAATTATCCGCAAAGTAATCGTTATATAGATGCTTGTGTCCTTCCTCACGATTTCTGTTTAACATCGCACGTCTTGTTAGTAGCGGGGCTGAGTCTGGTTGTAGCAACTCGTTAGTATAATACTGATACATAATTCTGAAGAATATATCGTCATCGGAATCACCGGACGAGTCGAAAGGATCCATAATTTTTTTTGAAGATAATTGAGATTTATAGAGAGACAGAGAGAAGTTATGTGTTTAAAAAATTGTTTAGATATAATAGGTATTTATATAGGGAAAAAATAATTAATTTTAAAGTTTTTTTTTTTATTAAAATAACCGTATTCAAACGGTTTAAAATGGTTAACGTTCGATTTTTTCTCGTTTCATCGGGTGGAGACGGCAACGGGAAAAGCCACAACGAGCAACAATGGGGGGGGGGGCGGTGTGCACCTCGTCGTGACGCCGTTTTCAGCCTCCACGTAGGCAATAACGAGAAACGCGAGATCCACACCGTTTGCTCTTAGGGGTAGCAAATATCATTGAATATCAACCAACAGGTGTACCAAACGAATCAATTATGTTGGTAGCCAATATTTTTGGTAGCTAACATGTTTGGTTGTTAGTACCGTACCAATTAATTAATAATGACATGTTAATTGTACAAGGTTTAAATACCACGATATTACTATACCAACCAATTCATTTTTCATATATATAAAAAATTGTATGTTAACTTTAAATGTATTTGACGATAAATAGTTCAAGAACTTTGATATTAGTACTTACCGTCTAAAGTTTAATATCACATTAACGTATCTCATTTACTTCATTGTTAAGTTTAAACTCATGATACATAATTATAAATAAAAAAATAGATCAAATTTCCAATCCAGCCATTCACAAAACTCTTATTAATAAAACTCACATGTATGCTTTAATTGCACAATAACACATAAACCTTAATTCGTAAAACACTCATACATATCGGTAAATATCATTACCAATATGAACCAACTAAAATTACTGTTAGCCAATTAAGTTGATAACAATTATACTTGGTACACTAGTTGTAATTAAAATATTATACAAACTATAATTGTTATGATGCACGGTTTAAAAAAAATATTTAATACTATACCAATTTCACCCATAATCTCTATAATGAATGTTGCATCAATTATTTTTTTCAATTAACTTTACCAAATAAATAATTATTAACTTAAATATTCCTCATATAATTTATTTAATAAATCTTTGTGAAATATTTAATAACTTTTACTTAATTTGTTATTTTAAACACATGTAATATTTAAATAAAAAAATAAAAAATAACATTAAATAAAATTAACTTATCACAATGCATTATTACAATGCAAAAAATTAAAATACGAGAAACTCAATAAAAATTCTTATGTTTTGCTCAATCGTTTTAATACTTATATTTTTTATTCAATTAAGTCCAAAAAACGACAATTATATTTATTTTGACATATATGAGGGTCAATAGATCAATCACTTTCAAAATTTATACTTTTGGCCAAGATTTTAAACTTTATTATAAATGTGGTCAAAAATTTACACTTTAGGCCTAGATTTCAAAATTTTGTTACGATTTCATCATAAGTTTAGTTTTTTTTTACAAATTTTTATAATATTTTTCAAATATGTTTTTTGTTGTATAAAATTATATTTATATAAAAACATATTTATGTATACAAACATGTTTGTATACAAACACGTTTTTATATATAAATGTATACAAATACGTTTACTACGAAATAAGTGTTTGTATATAATTTATTATAAAACGTGTTTGGATACATTTTTTTTATAAAACATATTTGTATACAAATGCATTTATTATAAAATATGTGTTTGTATACACTTTTTTTATAACATACATGTTTGTATATATAGTTTTTTTTATAAAAATGGATTTCTTTATATTTATGTATTTATATACACACAAACACAAAATATTTTTTTATGTACTTAATAAATGCCTATCTGTATAGAAGCTTTTTAAGGTATATATGAGTATAATTGTTGGATCTATATGCCCAAGAATCATAATGATGTACTCAGGCCGGTAATTTGAGAGAACCCAAAACTTGCCCGGTACTTACAAGGTCGGGCATGAAGAAACTATAGTCTATCACGAACGAATCTAAGCTCAAATAACCCTGCACGGATCTCATAACCACATCCCAGGAAACCTGCAAAAGAGAAGATACGGAGCAATAAAATAAAATAAAAGGACAGAAGGTGAGACTGCTAATAAACTGGGCAATGGACAAAGAATCGGACATAATTATAAACTTGTGGAACCACGAATAGCCTATAAATACATCATAAACTTGATAACTATGGAAAAAAGAGAGAGCAAGAACCTTAACACACTACATCGTAGCATTTTATTCGCAATCTAACTTAGGCATTGGAGAGCAATACCGGGGTCCAACCCCGGTATGGCTGTCTGAACTAGCCTTTGTCCTTCTTATGCAGAGCATATTCCCAGATGGTTATTAGACCAAGATCCTTCGATGGTAGAGCTAAACATGCGCCTAGAGTTCGTCGTAATAACAAATCGTTATTGAGTGATATGGCTAATAACATATGATCCTATAGGGTCACACCTTTATCAAGTTGACACATTTTGTATATTTATTATTAATTAATATGATTAGTAATAAATAATATCAATTATTGTATTTTAATTAGAGAAAAACATTTATTTTCTGAAAATAATAATTAAAGAGAATACAAACTAGTTGTTATGTCATATTGTATG